TTTTACCTAGGTAAAGAATTCTCACAGGAACTGTACACAGGCTGCTCCTTCCTTTAAAATCTGTCTGTGCTCAGAAAGCTGTGATTGACACATGAAGTCTCTAAATGCCTCTTTCCTCCTTGTGCTTGTGCTAAAATATAGAGGCTCCGTGGCAACAGAAACGAATGAAAAGAATGAACATTTGCCTGCTGAATACAGCAATCTCCTAGAATCAAAGGCCTCCCTCACAGTGGTTGGCTGATGTTTTGTCTCTGGGTTGATCTTGCAGATGTGGGCTCATCAGTGTGCTCTGTCAACAATGGGCACCCACTTAAATAAAATCAAAACCTGCAGGCAAAGTTGCCAGAACTGGTGTTTTACGGGAGCCTTTTCTCTCCAAGAGAACTAAAATCAAGCTCCTTCTGATGTTGAATTACATTCTCATTCACACAGATGCTCTGGCAGGTCGCAGCAGAGGTGACGTTGCTAAGGAACTCTGCAGTGTCTGCTCACACTGCTGTGCCACCATCCTGGGAGAGGCAGGTAGTCTGCAGTCCCCATGCAGAAGCCCTCAAGTTTCCACTGAGCTCCTCCTCGGCCACGACGGTAAGAAGATGGGTGACTTTTGCTCCCTGGCACAGGTAACAGTGATGGAGTTTTCTGGCAGCAAAGTGTGTGGCAAATCTGGATGAAATCTCCCTTCCAAAATGTGTGGTGATCGAGAGGACACTCATTTAGGTTTACTACCATGCAATGTTTTCAGAAAAGATTTTGGAAAAAGCATACGAGCCTGCAAAGATGGTGCTTCCAGCCCTGGGGCTGGAGAAGTACACTTTTATCTAGTGACAGTCCCTCTGGCTTCATGGGAAGTACCTGTGAATTGCTTTTCAGCATGCATTCAAAAGCATGACATCTGCCCAGCCTCCCACAAAATAAACATGAAGGTGAATACCTCCCAGTTTCATGGAACAGTATGGCTCTTCTTAGCACTCAATAGACATTTGCTAAGTATCTACTAAGTGCTTGCCTCCCACGATGCTAGGGCAAGAGGCACTACAAAGATGATTCTCTGAGCTCAGGCCTAAGGGAATGATAGCACACAAGGGATGTGAAAAAAGGAAAATTCAAAGCATAGAAGTTAAGATCCTGGTTCCTGGTTCCAAACCCAGCCTAGCTGTGGTTATCAAGGGTATCTGGAGAGTAGACCAGCAGATGAGAGATAGTACTCTCCCAGGCACACACACATTTCTCTTTCTTTCTCTCTTTCTCTCTCTCTCTCTCTTCCTCCCTCCCTCCCTTCCTCTCTCCCTCCCTCCCTCTCTCTCTCCCCCTCCAATTGGAAAAAAAAAAAAAACAAAACTAGTAATTTCCAGGGTCAGGGAAAGAAGGAAGGTCTCCCTAGGCACCTATGGCCACATAGCCGATGAGTAAAGTCCAAAAGGCTTCATGGCTTTTACAAGAGACCTACTCACATCTGCTGGCATTGCTGCCTTGACTGTAAGGATCCCTGAGAAGCCCCAGCATGCTGTGCAAGCACTCACCACCCACACTAATGGGCAGTGAAGTCTTTGCCATCACTGCCATTAAGGAGCCAGGATGAGGATCGGTTCACGAGCTGCTGAGGATGGACAGACAGGGACCAGAGGGCAGGAGAGCTCAGCTGAGATGAGGTAGGACATGGGGTCAACACTGATGGGGAACCCTGTCAGTATAAGATCCTAGACTGGTTCATGAGCAGACAGAAGAACAAAAAGGAGGGAAAATACAGACAACCTCTAGGATCTGGAGCAACCAAAGAAGATTCATGCACTCCTGGGACCCTCATGTCCAAGGCCCACACACTGGCTGGCTATGAAGGTCTCACTGTGGCTGTGTCCCCAAAGACAGAAGCCTTTGGCCTTTTCTGTTAGTAAATAGTTAAATATCTACAATAAAAAAATCAGATCTTCATGGACACCAGGCACTTGGAGTGAGTTGATTTCCTCATTTGTTAAACAGAGGAGTTGGATTAGGGTGGATCCCATCCAGCTCTTACTTTCTGCTGTTTGATCTGTGCCATGAAAGTTAACTGGAATTCGTATTTGCAGAAGTAAAGGAGGAAAAATTCCCAGTGGAGACTGCAAGAGACTCTTTATTAGAAAAATCACCCCTGTTGTCTTCAAAGAGGGAGGTGCCTTTCTCTGAAGGGAGGAGAGAACCTCCACTTTGACTATGACCGTGTCTAAACAAGATAAGAGTCGGAGAACTCAAGGGGCTTCCATAGCCTTGGAAACTCATAACTGGTGCATAGGGAGATTACTGATGCCATAAACAGGAGTGTCAATTGGTAAAGTCAACAACAGGAGTCACTGTGCACTTACTCCTCATGTAGGATCTCTGTCCTTAACGTGCTGTACACTGAGGCTTAATGCTATAACGAGTACTCAAACAGTATATTTCACTTTGTGTTTCTATGGGGGTGCAAACGACTGAAATCTTTACTTAATGTACACTAAACTGATCTTCTGTAAAAAAAAAAAAAAAAGAAAGAAAGAAATTATCAATTCCCAACTTGACTCTCACTGGGATTAAACATGACAATAGGTCTGATCTGATTTCATCATCATTTAAAAAAAATCATCTATTATTTTTCACTTTATGTTTCTGTGTGGGAGCAAACTGTTGAAATACTTACTTAAGGTATACTAAGCTGATCTTCTGTATATTAAGATAATCGAAAATGAATCTTGATGTGAATGGAAGGGGAGAGGGAGTGGGAAAGGGGAGGGTTGTGGGTGGGAGGGACGGTATGGGGGGGGAAGCCATTGTAACACATGAGTCGTACTTTGGAAATTTATATTCATTAAATAAAAGATTAAAAAAAAAAAGAAAAAAAAAGAAAAATCACCCCTGTTGACTATGATCTATAGAATGTTTAATTCAATAGTTGCTCCATGGGCACCACTGTGTACAGCCAGAACACCTAGGTTTCCTCTTCCTACACCATGTGGCCCTTCTGTTGTTAGTTCTCCATCTGAACTCAGAACCATCATCTCTGATTCTCCCACCTTGTGGAGTTGTGAGGCTCACAGAATGTGAAGCTGGGTGTGTGCTCTCCTTCTGGCTCTCCAGGCTCGTGAGACATTCCCTTCCCTGCTCCCTGCACCTGACATGGCCAAATGATTTGCTTACCAATCCCATGAGGATGACATGTGGGAGTCCTGAGCAAAAGCTTTCAGAGCCAGTGCATGATTCCCCATGTTCTCTTCCCCCCATTACAGAGATTGTGAAAGCACTGACCAACACTGGCCTCCGGCATTGTGGTACAGCAGTGTAAGCTGCTTACTACAGCTCTGGCATCCCGTATCAGAGTGCCAATTCAAGTCTTGGATTCTACACTTCCAATGCAGTTCCCTGCTAATGCACCTGGGAAACAGTAGAAGACAGCCTGAGTGCTTGGGAGCCACCATCATGGGAAAACTGGATGGAGTTGCAGGCTCCTGGCTTTTGCTTGGCCCAACCCTGCCATTGGGTCACTTAGGAAGTGAACCAACAGATGAAAGATCTCTCTCTCTCTCTCTCTCTCTCTCTTTCTTACTGTCTCTCTCTGCCTTTCAAATAAGTAAATAAATAGCTCTTAAAAAAAAAAAAAAGAAGATTCACCAATAAGGGCAGAGACCCTGGAATGACCAAATTGTCGTGGAGCATAATCAAGAACTTAGGGTTTGCTGGATTGAGTCCTGAGATTCCAGGGTTGTTTGTATTTACAGCAAAACTGAGCCCATCCTGAGCACACCATTGAGTTTGAGCACAATTAACGCTGTCAACCACATCACCAATGAAGCATGTTCCTAATTTCCAGAGTGACTGAAGCCCATTGAGACCCTGAAACCCAGAACAAACAGTTTCTGAAGATTGGTTTAGAACCGAGCAATTGAAACACATTTAGCAGTCACCTCAAGACTTTTGCCAAATCTTTTCTCTTACATGTTTAAAGCCAAGAACAATAACGAAAACAAAGCACTGGCCAGATATTTCACTCCTCTCTATCTCCTGATGCTGAATTTTCAGCAGCTTAAAGAATGACTGTTTTTTTTCCTACAAAGATTCAAGATGTCTAAACTAATCTCTTACTAATCCTCTTATTCTTCCAGCAAGTTCATGAAATCGGTGAGTTAAGCATTGCCGAGCATGCATGGTTATTGAGAGCAGTTCGAGAAAGAAGCCAGCTTGCTAAAAGATTCCACCTGCGCTTTATCGCAACACAGTTGCCATAATGCAAAAATGGTGCTATGAGTAGTATTACTGATAAGGAATAAATTCCTCCTGGCCTTATTAAGCTGGAGGGTGATGCCTTGTAGAGTTGCCAAGCTGAGCCTCACTGGGCAGAGGCAGCCCTGCAGAGGGCTGCCTCTCTACACCGAGGGATCCTGCACAGCTCACAGCACCTGCTGGGCCTCAGATTCCCCGTCTGATTCCTCACCAGCTCCCTCAAGGGTGAAATGAGACAGTGCATATGGGATTGATTTAAGGAAGAAAGGGTAATTTTGCAATGCACTGCTACTGGCTGAAGTTTCTTTTCAATTTGTTCAGAGGTTTGTTATACTCTTCAAGTTGCAAGTACAGGAAGCCCTTGCAAATTTTCCGTAAAACATTTCAAACTGTTTGTAAAACATTGAAGAGCAAGCCTGAAAGGCATTTTGCGCGTGTAGCTGACAACTCCAGGAATGCCATGACACCTGCGGTGCTCTCCTGCTCCTGTGCTTCCCACTTGGTGATGCCACTCCCTGCTGGGCTTTGAACAGGAGGAGGCTCCTCAAGCTCCTGCAAGTGCTTCAGTCCCAAAGTGGCGAGCAAATGGGGCTCACAGAGGGGAGGCTTGGTCCCGTTATGGTGTTTAAACGTGGGCCTTTGGGAAGGGATTAGATTAGATCCAGCTGTTGGGGTTCAGTCGCGGCATCAAATCATGATGACCTTCTAAGGAGAGTCCACACAGACATAGGCAACAAGCCTGCATCTGTCTCTCTGCTCCCTGGCTCGCCATGTGCTCCTCCCTCCACCATCCCTGTCCTGGTCAGAGCCCAGACCGGCAGGACCACCCAGTCTTGGATGGTGAGCCTCCAGAGCCAAGAGCAGAAGCAAACCTTCCTTCAGAAGCAGTTTCTTTAAGGTATTTTAGTTGTAATAAGGAAAAGTTGACTAATTCACTCCCTCTTCATGTGGCAACCTCTGCAAACTGCAGGTCACAGGAAAAGGAATGTTTCACATCACCGCCATGAAAAAACACATTTCCTTTATTTTGATGTTTCATGATAAATTGATATATTACAATTATGTATAATCATAGGGCGAAAATCGTATTATGACCTATAAATACAGCTCATTAACATATCCACCACCTCAAATATTTATCATTTTAGTGATGAGACCATTTCAAATTTGCTCTTGTAGCAATTTTGAAGTGTATACTATTTAAACAGTACAGGACTTATCTTTATTGGTGGCTCCATGATGACTTTAAGTATACCGGCTCTTTTGCCTTTCTGTTGAGCCATTCATAATGTGCTGGCCAAGTCCATACTTTTTTGTTCCCCTTCGTGGATACAAAGTTGCTGCTGCTGTTCTGGGCATCACAAGTAGACACTGCTATGATTTGAATTGTTTATCCCCTCAAAAACTGCCATTGTGATAGTATTTGGAGGTGGCATCTTTGGGAGCTCATTAGGCCATAAGACCTTTGTCCTCATGAAAAATGTCATTGTCACAGCAGTTGGTTTGTCACCAAAGGGTGAGTTTGGCCCCACTTTGTGCTCTCCCTACCCTTGTCTTTCACCATAGGATAACACAGCTGATGTTGGCATTCCCAGCTTCCAAATTGTGAGCAACTTGCTCCTGTTCATTGCAAATTACCCAGTGTCAGATGTTCTGTTACAGCAGCATAAAAAGGACCAAGGCAGAGCAGAGGCCAGAGAGGGTTTCTAAATGCACTTCTTTGTATCAGAGAAGAAAACTTTCCTAGATGCAACCTAACAGACCTCCTCTCCTAACAGACTAACACCTTAGTGGAGCAGAGCTGGGTCATATATGCACCTCTCATTTGCTTAGGGCTGGGCATGTCTCCCAATTCTTGCTAGTCCCTAGAAAGGAGAAGGATATATCAATAATTGGCTGGTGCCAACCAAAATGTGTACCCTGGAACTGGAGAATCCCTCTACCCATTTCCTAAGCATCGCTGTTGATCTACACCTAAACAAACTTTAAGTTCCGTGAAAAACAATCAAGGCAAAATGGTTCAGGGGGACCTTCAGCGTCTGCCATAACCTGTTCTTTGTCTCTAGGATGAAGATGAGAGCAGAAGTTAGAAAACCCAAAATGTCCTCACCACTCATAGTATCTTCAAGAACGTTTTCTCCCACATTTGGCTGAATTACCTAGGGATTTGGCAATGATTAATAGGAGCCATTTGTTGTTTATCATTTTCTCCTGAGTCTACATTTTTCACATGGCAGTGCAGGAAAGCCATGGCATACCACTACTGACAAAGCCCTGGATGGACCCGAGGCCCCAGTACTCCAGAGATCCTGCTTCAGTCAGTGGTAAAGGCTGTGGTAGAAACACAGGCACCCCCCACCCCACCCATTGTGTGGAAGGAGGGCTCCTGGAGACCAGTGGGCATCATGGACTCAAACACCAGGTCATTCACAAGAAACAGAAAACCTGGCTGGCTTTCCACACTGTGGAAGCACCAAAACCCTGACCTGTTCGTATCTCCAAAGTCTCTTCTATCCAGAATGACCTGAAGAATGGGTAGCCATGGGGAGGCAGGCTGCCTAGCATATCATGGTCATGGTCATTTAGGAATGAGGAAGTGAGAGAGCCACTCCACTTCTTCCCTGGAGCGTGACTGTGGACCTGGCCCTACCTGGGACCCATTACAGGTGCTCCCTTCTTATCTCATCTTCGGACTGCAGGTCATTTCTGCCATGTGTTTAAGAAATGCAGCTTTGTCTTTTCAAAACTTCTGAACTTCATTTCTCCTGTTGCACACCCTTCTTAGGGGTGATTCTAGTCAATGAGGAGTCTAAACACTTCTGAGCCTGGTTCTAGAGCTTCACTAGCACCCAGGGAATGGATCCCCACTGTCTTCATCCCTGTCGACCTGGCTTCTTCTGAACATGTATGTAGGTCTGGAAACAGACCTCAGATAAGGACACATTTTTTAAAAAGATTTATTTATTTGAGACAAAGTTACAGAGAGACAGAGAGGTCTTCCTTCCGCTGGTTCACTCCCCAAATGGCCGCAATGATCAGAGCTGGAATGATCCAAAGCTAGCAGCCAAGAGCTTCTTCCAGGGCTCCCACATGGTGCAGAGGCCCAAGCACTTGGGCTATCTTCTATTACTTTCCCAGGCCATTAGCAGAGAGCTGGATCAGAAATGGAACGACCAGGACTTGAACCAGCGCCCGTAAGGAATGCTGGCACTGCAAGTGGTAGCTTTACCTGCTATGCCACAGTGCCAGCCCAGGATGCTTGTTTATTTGGGAGCAGCTCCCAGGGAATGAGTGACACAGGGAAGGATCAGAACTTGGTGCCTTGTTGAGTTGTTCACACAGGAGCGACTGGAGCTCAAGCTTAGCAGGACACTCAGGAATGTGGGAATTGTCCATGTGAACATCAGCCATTTACCTGGTGCTTTCTTTCCTGTTGGCTGAGGCTTGTCCCACAGGTGGAGTAACACCTGCACTTCAAGGCTGCTCCCACATTCATGCTGCTGGGCTCCCAGCCACCCCTTTCCCCCTGCTGGCAGTTGTTGGAGAAGCTCCAGTGGGAAAAATGAAACAGCAGCATGTTCTTGAGCAGAATACTCTGATATGGGTCAAGGTCACTGAGAAATCAGGAATGTGGCCAAGGAAGTGTGAGGAAAGCATACACAGTCTCCCATCCAGAGGATAAGACATGGGTGCCCCACCTGGTCCTCTGCTCAGGGGCCTTGTGCCAAGGCTCTGCTATCTGGGGCAGATGGGGAAATATGTCCACCAACCTTGGGCAGGAAGAGACTCTGCTGCTGTACCTCCGTGGGTTGTGAAATCTTCATGTTCATTGGCTTCTAAAGACACATGGCATGGCTGACTTAGACCCTCCACGCAGACAGTTTTCTCTAGTGTCTGGGGGCCTCCCAGAATCCCAGCAGAAAAATGAGTTCAGGTGACCCTGCTCTTGGAGATCCCCAAACTCTCTGGAGGTTCTGTTTTTATTTCTACTTGGAACAGAACAAGAAGCAGGAGGTGGGCAAGCTAGCACCTTCTCAAATAATCTCAAGGTCCTAGTCTCCTGGATGTCCTTCTTCAAAATCAAGGAATCGTTTCTAGTTCTCAGAAGTGGGACAGAATGCCCTTACTGGTTGGAATTATTCTATGCTTTGAGCTCTTTGGGGCCTAAAGTTTAAGATTCAAAAGGAAGAATTGGCTTCCTCTTGGGACCTAAAACAAGGGTTTGAGTACAGGTAGTTTATCTGGGAGCTGATTCCAGGAAGCCCCTATAGAGAAGTAGGGAAGGGAAACAGGAAGGAGAAAGTAGCCAAACCATCAAACCACTAACCACTGTGTGCAACTAGAGCTGAATCCCTCTGGGAGCTCTGGGAACCAGCGTGGTGCACAAGCCCCAGAGTTATCCCACCAGAGGGGTGAAGGAGTGGGGTCCCTACCCACCAGCTCCCGTTTTTACAAGGGGAGCGCTGCTCCTATTACTCTGGTGCTTTCAGCCATGCCTGGGTTTGGGAGGAGAAAGTAGTCGGTGAGGAAATGTGGAGATGGTGCCTCTGGACACCAAGCAGAGGTGCACAGAAATCGCACAGCTGTGAGGGACTCGAACCCAGCAGCCATCCATGCTCACCTCTCTTGCTCTCTTGTATTCTTCTGTCCTGGCTTTCCCTCAGGCAATGAGCAACAAGTAATAAACTTGTTGGAAAGTGGGAGGGGAAAAAGATACAATTAATTTGGATGGGAAACCCCTTAGTTACTATGTCAAAATATGAAACATCCCAACAATCTTACTTATTGGGGAATTTTCTGGTGTCTTCCACCGGCAGGGGTACTGTGCTTTCATTTGCCTGACTTTAGGGAATAGAAGAATGTCCAACTCATCACGTGTTCACTGTTCGTGATGCCTGCAGGACTACAGATTTGTCAGCCATCTGTTGGGTAGGTGTGCTCTTATTCCACATTAACCTGCCATATCTAAGAAAGTGTTTCTGCTCTGTGGTGAAAATGAGACGCTGGGGTTGCTGGGGCCTCAGTGAAAGCCCTGGCTCAGTTGCCAATTGCCTGTGTGAATTTGGACAAGATCTACAAAACACCCAGAGCCTGTTTGTTCTTCTCTAATACAAGAATAATAAATTAGTTCTTTCCTAGAGTGATTCTGAAGATCAAATGACAGAATACATTTGGATCATGAGCTGACTCAGCATCTGGCCCATAGTTGCTTGTGGACAAGCTAGCATAGAGACATGACCATAAGTTTACATATAACCTGGAAAGCCAGAGTCATCAAGGTTGACAGACTATCAAAGTTAAACTGGGGGGGAGGAGCGGGGCAGCATAGAGAGTCGGCATTGTGGCATAGCAAGTAAAGCCATGCAGGTGTCAATTCGTGCCCTGGCTACTGCAGGACAATCCAGCTCCCTGTTAATGGTCTGGGAAACACAACAGAAGATGACCCAAGTGCTGGGTCCCTGCCACCCATTTGGGGACCCACATGGAGTTCCTGGCTCCTGGCTTTGGCCTGGCTGAGCCCAGCCTGTTGTGACCACTTGGGGAGTGAAGTAGGGTATAGAAGGCCTCTTTTTGTGCCTGAGCGAGTGCTGACAGAGGAGCACCACACACCGATAAATGTTGGAGTCCTTTACTGCCTGTGGTGGAGAGTGGGCTCAAGCCCAAAGAACTCTCAGTCCCGAAGCCCAAAGCAGCAGGGTTTATAGAGGCAAAAACCACAAAAATGGGAGAGGGAATACATGGTTGCTAGGATCAGGGGAGAATACATGGCTACTGGGGTCAAGCTGACCTAAGGCCATGCGAAACTAATACCAATTATCATCTTGACAATACCAGTTACAATCTTAACAATTTAATTATAATCTTGACATTAATCCAGGTATTGGCCTAAATCATATGTGGGACATAGACAAATTACAATCTTATCATTAACCCAGGTGCAACCTATCTGTTTTTAAGCTTGAGTGATCATGCTAGGGGGTTTCTATGCTCTGCCAAGTGTGATGTAGTGGACTGCTATCGTTTGAGTTTTAGATCATAGCTTCACATCAGAGTCTCACGGTGGGGGAGTGCTTTCTCAAGATGGGGTCTCAGGTGCTCTAAAATGGAGTCCCCTTTGTCAAGGTTTTACTTCACTCTCTCTCTCCACTTCTCTCTGTAATTCTGCCTTAAAAATAAATAAAGAAAACTTCACAAAGCTAAATGGGATGACGGAAGCACTGCTTGAAAAACACCAGACTAGATGATACCTAATTATTTCAAGGAAGCACATCAGAAAATGACATCTGGAGACTTTTGAGAGTGAGGCAGAGGTGACCGGGACCTCCAGTCCTCTTGCTGGTCAACTCAGAGTAACTTTGTGCTAACAGCTTCATATACTGGCCTTTAGCCCAAGATTCATTTGAAGAAAATCTTCAACTCAGTTTCACTGATTCTAGTCCCAGCACTTGGTTTTGCTGGGAGGTGGTGGCAGAGCTAGGGCTAATCCTCAGGACAAGGCAGCAGGGGTTGAGAGCTGGGAGCTATAGATCAACATCTCAATATACTGCTCTCTTGTTATGTACACAGGCAAGAGACTTACTCTCTCTGAATCTGCTTCTTCTTGTGTTCAGTGGACATCAAAATGTCTTTTCTGTCAAATGTAACAAGAAACCAAACAAAGAGAAATGATCAATTTCACAGTGTTAAGACCTCAGACAAGAACACCAATAAAGAATCATTTCTCAAGTATTGAATTAGTAATTTCAAAAATATTGTTTTCTATTTCTGGAAGGTTGCTGAAGAATTGGAGAAAAAGTTTAAGTATTTAAATTTTTATTTTTATTTTATTTCTTTATTTGAAAGAGAAAGAGAGAGAGAGAACCCTCCACACATTGGTTCAATCCCCAAATGCCCACAACAGCCAGGACAGGGCCTAGCTGAAGCCAGGAGCCAGGAACCCCATCCAGGTCTCCTTACATGGGTGACAGGAATCCAAGTACTTGGATCTTACCTGCTGCCTCCCAGGGACATTAGCAAGAAGCTGGATGGGAAGTGAAGTCAGGACTCGATCCCAGGCACTTGATGTGGGATGTGGACATCCCAAGTGGCAGCTTAGCCTTTGGCACCACAAGATATTA